TGTAGAAGCTTATAGAAGGTGATAAGAATGTAGAGTAGTGTTTAATGAGAAGAGTGTGGGAGAGATATCTGGGAGATATAAACATAGTTACATGAAAGGAATGTCACAATGTGTCAGAGCACATTGGAAAGACTAGAGCTCATGATAGCCTATTATAAGTTTTGCAAAGACTTAGAAGAGGAGCTTGAAAGCTCCAAACATAAAGAAACGACAAGGAGGGGGGAAATGTTAATTATCCTCATTTGATTAGTGTACATGCTATGCACGTGTTAAAATGTCACACTGTGCTTCATTAATATGCCCTTTTATTACTAAATGCTAATCCAAAATCTAAAACAAAATAACCATAGTGAAAAGTATGGCATACATACATTTCAAGGTATATACTTCATTGAATTTTCCCAAGCAAATATACTCAGGTCACTTTACAGAATATTACAAACAAGTACTAAAGAATTCATCATATTATTCAAATCAATAATCCTTGAAAAGTAACCATTACTCGGACTTCTATCACCCTACATCATTGCTGCCAACTTTGAATCTTGCATACAGCTTATGATACAGTATCTATGATTTTGTGTCTAGTTTCTTTGCTAAAAAAATATCTGTGAGATTCATTCATGTTGCTGACTATAGCGATAATTTGGTCATTAACTTTGTTCAGTGTTTGTTGTATGGATTTGGTATAATTTATTTTCTTTTTTTAACATTTAATCTATTATAACATTTTTCTGTTAAAAAGCATATTGCTATGAAAAATCTCTGGCATGTCTTTTTATTCTCATATACAAATTCCTGTTGGGTACATGTCTAGAAGTAACCCTATTAGATCATAGAGAATGCATATTTCAGCTCAAAGAAAGACACTTTTTCAAATTTGTTATGGTAATTTACACTTCCACTAACTCTCTGTGAGAGTTTCAGTTTTTCAACATTCTCACCAGTTCTTGCTATAAAATGGAAGTCCTCCAAGGTGTTCTTCAAAATTGCTTTTGCCATCCTCCAACTTTTGCACATCAATAATTTTAGAAACAATTTGTAATATTTCATCAAATTAAAATCTATAAGATTTTAATTGGGATCTATTAAATCTATAGAAAAATTTCAGGGCTGACATCATTATACAATTCTTCCATAACTCATATACATAATATATCTGTCCATTTAATTAGGTCTTAATTTTTCTCAAAAATGTTTTATACATTTTTGTTAAAGTTGGTATTTTATAATAAAGTAAGTAGTATCATTTATTATTTATATTTACATGCCATCTGTTACCTGTTGCTAATACAAAGATTCAATTTTAAAAAGACAGGCAAAACCAGGTTTTTTAGTTTAAAAAACTTTTATTGAGCTAAATTTTACACACAAGGAAATACATATATCTTAAATATTTATTGAAAATTTGACAAATAAATATACTCATAAAATGAACACCCAATGAAGAAATGGAATGTTTTTATCACCCAGAAATGGTCTTTTTTTAATACCCTTTGTTATCAATCTCCATCCTGCATAGGTAAGAACTTTCAAAATTTCTATTCCCAAACAGTAGTTTTTCTCTATAAATAAAATATACATCTTATATTCTTTTATGTTTGTCTTATTTCATTCAACTCAGTTTTTAAAATTATCCATAATGTAGTATAAGTCTATAACATAATTTGTGTTTTATTATTGCATATGAACACATTATAAAGTGATGGAGAGATATATTTTTACAAACTTGGGGCTATAATGAATAAAGTTTCTATAAGTTTTCATGTATAAAGTTTTATACAATTTTTCTTGGCAAAAGGTTTTAGAATATATTTGCTGCATTATAGGCTGGATTTTTCAAATGTGGTCGTACTATTTTATACTGGTAACGATACTGAATGTCCTAGTTACTAGCCAACCTCACCAAGATTTGGTGTTTTCAGACTTTTTATTTTTGGCTATAGCTATAAAGTGATATCTTATTGTGCATTTTTTTTTTAGATTTAAGTGAAGATCATAATTTTTTAAAAATTTTTTATTGTTGGTTGTTCAAAACATTACATATTTCTTGATATATCATATTTCACACTTTGATTCAAGTGGGTTATGAACTCCCATTTTTACCCCATATACAGATTGCAGAATCACATCAGTTTATTGTGCATTTTTAATTAATACATAACATTATACATATTTATGGGATATAGTACAGCAATTTGATATAAATATGTGTGTATCTATCTATCTATATGCACACTATTCATAATGATCAAATCAGGTATTTCTACCTCCTCATTTATCATTTCAATATGTTGGGAATCTTTGGACTTTTCTGGTTATTTTGAAGTATATTACAAATGGTTATAGACTACAGTAACTCTACTAAGATATAGAACATTTAAACAAATTTGTTTCATCTAACTGTACTTTGGTAATGGTTTTCTAATGTCTTTCTATTCCCCAGATTGTGGTTTTAATTTACATTTGTTTTATGATTTAAAACATAGAGCAAATTTCCATATTTGTTGTTTATTTTTATATCTTCTCTACAAAATAATTATTCAAAACTTTTGCACATTTTTCTTAATATTGAATTTCACTAAGTCTGCACATATTTTTGATATCTACAACTCTTCTGAAGGTCACAAAAGAATAAAAACCTGCCATACTTTTGGATAAAAACACTATTTACTTTCATTCTGCCCTAACTTAATTTATATACTTAATATGATCCAAGTAAAATTAGCAATTGATTTTTTTTGTAAATAAAATTAAACAAGGTGATTTTTAAATTTATATTGGAAAAAAGCTAGACAGAAAATTCCAGATAAAGAAGAAATGAGGAAAGTCTAAACACATCAGAAATAAAATGGACTATAAAGATTTATTAATGAAACAGAGTTTTATATAAGATTTGAGGGGATTTTTGGTCTCATTTAGAAATGAGACTAAGAAGCTGGAAGGTCTGGTGTGTCAGGCACATGCTAAAAAATCCTACTGTTGGTGAAACTTTGAGATGTGGTGCATTTTTGCCCTATGCAGGCTTTGGAGTAAAAAATATGGAGGTTCCAATATCACCTCTTCCAATTAGAAATCTCGTGACCTTGAGTAATTTTCAAACCATTTCAGAGTCTCAGCTTAGAATTAGTAATACTTGCTTTATTGAAAAGCTTTTAAAGCTTTTAAGACATTCAGAGTGCCTTGTACATAGTGTTTGATGATTATTAATTCTCATTCTCATTTTCTTATGTAAACAAGAATTAGCTGCTTTTAAAATTATTCTACAACCCATCTGGAATTTTTGATCCAGGACACTGGTTCTAGAGATGTACATTTTGATGAAGCCTCAGGCTACCAAACTTACATGGTTGGTTAACAAAGAGAATCAATATGCCGTTTAATATTAACTGCTCATAGGACAATATGGCAAGAATTCATGCGTAGCCATCAGAGACCTGAGTATAGAAAGATCTTCCACTTACTAGCTATGCAATCATGGGTAAAGTATAATGCTTCCCAGTCTGTTTTCTGATGTCCAAAATTAGAAAAATAGAGTTGATCTAATTTTCTCATGTTTTTGTGTTGGTACAGCATATGTACTATAGAATACATCGTTACTCAAATATTGCTATATGAATCAAAACTCCTTTACAAACCAAACACTGGCCTTATATCACAACTTTTGCCCTTTGTTCTTCTGGACATAGAAACAAATTTGAATAAAAATATTAGCATTTTGCAGGGCTCAGTGGTACAAGCTTATAATCCAAGTGACTTGGGAGGTGGAGAGAGGAGGATTGCAATGTCAAAGCCAGCCTCATCAACTTAGCAAGACTCTAAGGAATTTAGCAAGACCATGATTCAAAATAAATAATAAAAAGGACTGGGGATGGGGCTCAATGGTTGAGCACCTCTGAATTCAATCCCCTGGTGACAAAGAAAAAAAAACATTTTGAAATAAAATAAAATTATAATTTAGTTAAATTCTCACTTAAATGTAGGATATCAGGGCCCTGCAGGGCCTTGCAGGATACCTGCAAGTTTAGGTAGCTCTAAGTGAGGTAATTTGAGAGGCACCCAATAACATACCCACCCTGCAAACACAGAGCCAAAACTTTCATTAAAAATACTAATGGGGCACAGTGGTGCACACCTGTAATCCCAATGACTCAGGAGGTTGAGATAGGAGGATCACAAGTTTAAAGCCAGCCTCAGCAACTTAGTGAGGCACTAAGCCACTCATTAAGACCCTGTTTCTAAATAAATAATGAAAGTGCTGGGGATGTGGCTCAGTGATTAAATGCCCCTGGGTTCAGTTCCTGATACCAAACTAAAATAAAAATACTTTTCTTTGTATATCCATCCCTAAGCATCTGTTTTCCAAATGCAATGACCAACATGAAAAAACAATTCATATTTCATGGAACTAATGATATGGATTTAGAGAAAATAAAGGAAGAGAAAGAAAAAGAGTATGTTTTAGATAATGGATAAGAGTGAGGGAAAGAGTTAAAGAAGAAATAAAAGAAAACAAAAACAAAAGAAGAGAAGTGAGAGAACAAACCAAAGACCTAAAAATCAAGTTATTTCCTGTGCCAGAGACATGGCTGGGGTCAACAAATGGCCAGGGATTCCACCATAGTGTTGGTCCCTCAGTGGGCAATCAACATTTATTACCTGAAAGAAGGGATAGACAAAGAAAAAACAAAAGTATTTTGTGACTAAGCTTTCTCAGCCCTGAGAACTAGACTGAAAATGAGGGGGGAATGACGAAAGAACCAAGACACAGACAGCCACAAAACTGATGAGGCACCAAGCGAATGTGAAGGGTGGCCAGATGAAAAATGTGGCTCAAGTGAGCAGCAGCACTTGTCTCGTGACCTCCCTGGTCAGCCCAGCCCTTAACTCCACACAAGGACCCAGGTTCCAAGCCCTGCTGCAGAGGGTTCTTTCAAACTGTGCCTGCCCAGCTGTAGATTTGGGTGCAGGTGGCAGGTGCCTGGGTTGCACTGTGTGACTACAGCACAGAGGTAGGTGGCTGAGTCTCCATGCTGCACGGCTGTGATGTTCAAGCTGCTTCCACCCTTCAGCAACGTGGCTCGTAGTCTTCCCTTCTGCTGCACATCCCCAGCGGAATACATGGAGAAGAGGTGTCTGAGACCTGTCCCTGCGTCCTGTCTGTACCACTGCAGACCTGTGGAACCACTGACTGAGTGAGTGCAGCTCATGGAGGTGCCATCTCCCTCCCAGGGTCTCAAGGAAGGAGGACTCTGCTCCACCTGGTTTCCTCCTCTCACCCCTGTTTGAAAGACAACAATAGACACAAGGAACATGTAGCTTTCATTCAGACCATTCATAATTTTGTGCCAAAATCTACAATAAAGAGCGGCAAAATGAGTCGAGACTACATCCCCATCTGTCCCCTAGGATTTCAATGAATGACCCCTGGGCTCCCAGCTCTAAGAATCCCCAACTCACAGCCAAAATGAAGCCAAAATATAATTAGCACAGATCCCTGCATCTTCTCCATCCTGATACTTTGTCTTGATACCCGGAATGCTGCCTAGAATTGTATAACCAAAAAAAAAGTCTTCTTTCTTGATCCTTTTGATGCAGTAAACTAGAGGGCTTTTTTTGTTTATGTGCCAACCAGTCAGAGATGAGCTCCTCTCAGGTAAGCTTACTTCCTAGTCTAGTCATAAGGAAAGGCCTAGTCAACAAAGGGAAAGAGAGCCAGTGTCACCTGGTGGCCACAGACAGAATCATTGAAGAAATTTACCACATTAGAAGTGCACCTCTTACAGCAGGTACAGTAGGGTAACAGGAGGGAACTACTACTCCTATGTTGTGCATTTTTATTTTTATTTCATATAAATGTTTTGAAATTCTTGCTTTTTCCCCTTTTTTCTATTTTATTAATCTATTCATAGAAGTCTTACTCTCTTGAAATAAAACTGTCATCAATGATTACAGAGCAGGTGGGCAAAAGGAAAGTAAAATTGAATAGGGGTTCTCTTTAAAAGAAACAATTCTTTTAGCTTATAAACTAAGGAATGAAAAAAGAAACAGTGGAAGCCATATGTAAATGTGTCAAAGAACAAAATGTTAAGAATGTGTAAGGGCCAGGCATGGTGGCGCACACCTGTAATCCTAGAAGCTCAGGAGGCTGAGGCAAGAGGATCGCAAGTTCAAAGCCAGCCTCAGCAAAAGCAAGATGTTAAGCAACTCAGTGAGACCCTGTCTCTAAATAAAATTAAAAAATAGGGCTAGGGATGTGACTCAGTGGTTGAGTGTCCCTGAGTTCAATCCCCGGTAATGCCCACCTTGCCCCAATAAAAAGAATGTATATTAGGAAACATGCTTTGTGGGTTTATCTTTTATTGAATCAGATATGAATTTGTTAGAGACCAACAGAAATCCTTGGAGGGAAGAGAATGTGATAATAATTTTAATCACATCAGTAACAACACAGTGTGGGGAAGAAATTTGTCTCTCTGATTAGCAAGTAAAGACTCATTATTGGAGATTTCAATAGTATATTTTTAGTCTTTAGTATATGATTGCACCATAGAGCTGTAAACCTAATAATTAATCAAAAGATAGGCAGCTTTGTGTGTCCTGCTCAGCAGTATCTTGATTTAAACTAAATTGCAAGTTATATCTTTTTTAGCCTGTCATAGTTTTAAGATAGAAGAGTAACCTACAGTGCACTGCTGTTGACAAAATCAAAATCCGTTTGATTATATCCACATAATTTCAGATAACATTATATGAATGTTCTCAATGACATGCCTTGAAAAATTCAATTATTAATGAAGCTATAGTCCCCTAGCTTATTATTGGACTCTGTGCCAACTCAACATTGCATCCCTGAAGGTCAAACTCTTCCTCTGCCCCAAACAAAACAAACACAAAAACCAAACTAATGCATTTTGATGCTTCTGGCTTTCTTGTCATTTCTTTTAAACAGTAGAAAGGCAAGTGTATGCTGCCATGTTTACGTCAAGGGTGCAAATCTATAGGGATAAAGTATGCCAGGCATGCAAATCCTTCTATGTCTTCTTTATTCATTAAGAATCCCATAAGTCTCCAGTTGCCTTTAATTCATTTGATCTAACTTTTGTTATAAAAGAGGTACATTTTTTAAATGTAAATTGTTCTCTAATGACAGCTCTTCAGCAACAGGTTTTGAATATTTTTTTCTCCAGAAAATGATGGAGAGAATAAATTCAAAGTTAGTTCAAGCTGGAAAGAAAACATCAACACAGATGAATGGTCCCTATACAGGGGCTCCTAGGTCCAGTTAAGTCCCAAATGAAGTTAGAGGATCTACTTTTTTGTTTGGTTGTTTGGACTTTGGGGGTTTTGTTTTGTTTTTTATTTTAGTGCTGGGAATAGAAACCAGAGTTTTGAGCATGTGAGAATCTATTTTTAATGCAAAATGTATGTTTTAACATAAGAATTATGCATGACCAAGTTGTACCATGAGAAATGAGACTGAAATCAAAGGCTACTAATAATAAGTATTGCTTGACTATGGAGGGAAGCACTGGATAGGAAGAAATCAAATCTAACACTTGTGCTGCCTGTGTCTGGCCCTGATTATGAACATTTTATATAATGCTAGTAAGAATCAGTTTAATCACAATAACAAGAAAACTACCTAAGTATGAAGATTTATTTATAAAAAAGTTTTGTACAAATTTGAGCCCTGTACTTGACATTTAGCCAATACTAAATAAAGGTTAAGATGATTAGTTTCAGAACCAAGTCAATGTCTATTCTTTGAAACAAGTAACTGGCAATGGGAAATGTAATGGAGAAAAGAGAATAGTATTTTATTTTGATTGGTTTGATTTATTCCTGTGTAAATGCATTGTATGTAGCATATAGTAAGGTCCTGGAGTATAAGAGCACCTGACAATACTTATTGATTGACATATGCATAATCCAAAATAAAAAAAAAACAATAATGTTAGACACAGGAATAACAGTTTAATTTTAAGAAGCAGCATTTTTATACACTTTTTTTATTGCATCACAATGCAGGAAGGATAAGATCCATCTAAAACAATTCTTTAACTACCAAAAGAATTAGAAAACACCACAATGGAGTGAGACAAATCAAGTCGTGAAAATAAGAATGGCTGAGGTGGAAGCATAAAGCAGAGTAGAGATACTGCCCTATGAGACATTCAAATATGTAATAAAAAGATAGATTAGCCATCCCAGAATCCCATAAAATCATGAAATATATAGGATGAACCAGGCTAGTCAATTTTTATCATAGACTAGTCCTCTGTATGGAACTTTAGGAAGCCCAGCCTAGAATAAAGGGAAGGAAGTCTATTACAGAGGGAGTTAATTGTGGAACCATATGGAAATCTTCTCCTCAGAAAATAGTACAGCTCAGCAATACAAAAGCCATGAAAAATTTTTGGAAAAGTCCAAAGTGGAAATCAAAGACAGGTCCTTTTTTATGAAAGGAGAATATACCTTCCAACCCCTTCTCCCATTAATCAGCATTACTTTTAGACACAGTGGCTCTATAGCCTAGAGGAGCCATATCTCTGACAAAGAAAAGATATCTCCAAGTTCATGAGTTTTAATCTATTCCTATGCAAATTGTACCAAGTTTTTAATGTGTGACCTGAATCCAGAATGAAGCCCTCCCTCTCAACATGAGAGCCTGAATCCTGTCCTGAAGGTCCCCTACTCCTTTCTATTTGGTCCTGTGCTGAAAGACCTGATCAGACACTAGAGCTTGATCATTTGGTGTTGAGTACATTGTTCTGCTCAGGGCGACTGGGTGCTCAATTGATAGGCTCCTGGAAGCTAGCAGTCCACAATCAATGTGCCTGAAAACTTTGTTTCTGGTGATGGCTCTCCCTTGACTTATGGATGGCCACCTTCTTCCTGTTTCCTCTGAGCTCACATGATATATATATATATATATATATATATATATATATATATATATATATATGAGAGAGAGAGAGAGAGGGGAAACTCTGATCTCTCTTTTTCTTCTTACAAGACACCTTTGCTCACGGATGAGGGCCCCACCCTTATGATCTCATTTAACCTTAATTTATCTCCCTGAATGTCTTATTTCTAAACACAGTCACTTTAGAGGTTAGGACTTCAATGTAATGAACTGGCAGGAGGTAGTGAGAGGAAGAAAAAGTCGTCCTGACATCAAGTCTTTGGGTCACTAAGCTATCAAATCTTTGGGATTATGTGTAATCAGGTCCCTAAAGGGATCCTGAAAAGATCAGATAGAACCATTGCATCTTGCAGGCTATAATTTTAAATAATCTTTTAATGAGGAAAGAATACAAGGTGTCAGCCATATTTTATATGTATGACAAGATCAAGAGACATTTTAATTTTCTACTTTTTCTTTGCTTTTTTTCTTATACCATGGAACTAATAATTTTATAACCAGAAATAGTAAATGCTCTTATCAAAACGTAAGAGCCTTTCCATTGTGAAGAGTATTCTTTGAAAATGACACCAAAGTGTCCTTGTAAGGGAAAAAGATAAATTACACCCAAAAGTCAACCCTAGAGCCTGAGCATCAAAGAAATCATCAACACCCAATGAGAGTTTATTCAAACTTCTCTAATCCTTATTGGGTCATTTTGCAACTGGTTTTCAGCATGTTTTAGAATGTCCATATATTTAAAAGAAAATACAGGAAAATCATGTTCTCAAAGATGAAAAAAAAAATAGTGTGTCTTCAACACCCTGGCATGTTTGGTTGAGTCCTGGGATGGGCCGCTGTGATGTTCAGGGAGAGATGTTTGTCCTTCTTACTCAGGAGGACAATGAGTCTCTGGTTTTGCTTCTTCTCCACACTTGAAAGAATTCACAGGAGCAACTGCAGACCTGCTCCAGGCTCGTGCTTATACCAAAAGAAGTAGGTGGAGGCACTGTCTGTGTAAATGCAGTGGATGACAGCGCTGTCTCCCTCCTGGACACTCAGGAAGGAAGCATGCTGCTCTGCCTTCTCTCCTGTGCTTACACCTGGGTAAAAGAGCATCTGGACATCGTTTCCCAGAGTTTATGTTTTTTCCTGCAGTCATTTCAGGCAGTCTGAAAGAGGCCAACCTCCTGTTCAAACTTGTGATGAATATTAACCAAACACCTTGTCTCCCAAAAGCTTTCAACTCACAGTTCAGCCAGCCACAAAGAACAGGAACAAAGGCCTAGGCAGTGTCTTCATGGCTTTCCTGTTGGGACTGCAGTCTGCACCCAGTAGAGGAACTTCTATTATCAGGGTCTCTTTTCCTTCCTTCAAGGCACAGCGGTTTCCTAAACCCCCAGCACATGCATCTGCTTCTCTCTGCAGCCTGCTCTCACAGAAGTCAGCCTAAGAGAACCCTCCCTCCATTCTGCATCAGTAGAGACGCTCTGCCATCTTGTGGCCAGATCTGCAACTGCTAACTCAGCTCATCAAATTCTCTCCTATCCTGTGTCTATGGGAAATTCTGACCCACAAAACAGCAGCAGGTCAAATAAAGTAAGTTCCAAGTGTGTCTC